GGAGGACAGCTGGAATCACTGAAGGGGCGGGGAAGAAGCTGCCTCGGCAGCCTTGTCCAAGGCTCCACGACTGTGGTTGTTCCTGTCCAGCGTTGTGCGGGGAGGTCAGTGTATTGTCACTAATCAATCGTATGTTGCTACTACTCTTGTCAGTAGCCTTTAATTGCTGTTGTTACCCGTGATACGTATTAAACTTTGTTATTAGTTTCTGGCCGTTGACTGTGAACCCCTTCATAAGTGACAGGGACACCTATACCGCCACCCGAACCTTTCTTGTAGCGTGGAGCGCGGCAGGGACCAGAGCGTGAGGGTGCTCTGCGGTCGGCTGTGCCGCCCCTCCCGGGCCTCCCGTGACAATTGGCTATTTGGTCAGAATATTAAATGCTGTAATTTGAATAGATTTGACTGACTCCATGATACTATTCTTCTTTACTGATGTGCTTCAATTAGCAACTTGTTAATTATTAATTTTGCAATTATATAAATTAACTTATCTGTATTTGCTTGAATTTTCTGACATCATGTAGCATAAAATTTCAAGAGAGCAAATGCAAATACAGTATTAACATTTAGTTTAATAATTGTACCATTTCTCTCAGACTGCAGGGAAGGAGTATGCATCTTAATTTTACTTTTAATTTAATATAAATATTGGGTTAGAAGAAAGATTGAAAGAAAAACCTGATACAAAAATATAAGGATGTGAACAGAGAGTAGCTATATAATAAATATCCTTTAATTTCAATCAGAATGCAATAATAACATTGGGTATGATCATAAAGTTATTCATTTTTTTCAGCTCTGTGCACTAATTACAAGCAATATTGAACTAAAAATCAAAAAATGTTACTATCAACTATTTAAAATCCATAAACCCTGAAAACCATTAGGATAATGATGGTCAGCATTAACATCTGGGCTCTGAAGATCACAGTGCTGTCCGAGCTTTGCAGTGAGGTAAACCATGCCCCACAGTTTGGTCTTTGCAAAAGCACCGGAGTACACAGGGGACTACTTCCACAGGATGGCAGCACTTTCTACAGACGGGGGAAGCTGGGAAAGGGAAAGGAATTGCATTTAACTCTTGCATTGTGGCACAGTACAGCAATATTCAAATTAGCTATGACAGAAATAGCTCTGGAATCAGCAGCAAATAGCCACACAGCTGTGGTTTTGCACTGTTTGTCTGCCCTCTTGAGAGGCAGCACTGCACATAAAATGTGCAGTGGATCTCTCTCTATGTGGATCTCTCCACATAAAACGGACAGTGTTATCAGGCTGTATCGGTTCAGTCACAGGGAATGGGACTGGAAGGACACTGCACCTACCTGAGAGTGCTGAAAGAGCTGTCCAGCCTTCCTTGCAAGGCCACTCCCTAGTATCTTTGAAAGGTTGTAGTGATGAGGGGAGGTCCCTGAAGAGTGGAGAAAGGAACAAATTATATCTATATTCAAAAAGGACCAAAAGGATAATCTGGGGAACTACAGACTGGCCAGCCTCACTCCAGTGCCTGGGAAGATCGTAGAGTGAGTCCTCCTGGAGCACATCTTTAGGCACACGAAGGAGAGGATGGTGGCTGAGAACAATCAGTACGGACTGATAGAATGTAAATTATGGCTGACCCAACTAGCCGTGTCTTCTGTGATAAAATAACTGGATTTGTGGACAAGGAGAGAGCAGTGGATGTTATTGATCTCAGTTTGAGTAAGTCTTTTGATACCGTCTCCCACAATGTTCTTTTATCTAAGTTGGGATGCTGCAGTCTCTACATGGGTGGGCAATCAGCTGGGTAAATACCTGGTTTGGTGATCAGGCTCAGAGGGTGGTAATTAAGGGGTCAAACCTGCCTGGAGGCTGGTGCCAAGTGGGATCCTGCACAGTCTGTCCTGGGACTTGGCTTGTTTAACATCTCTGTGAGCTGCCTGGAAGAGGTGATTGTCGCAGATGGAGAGGTCAACACACGCTGATCGATTTGAAAGGTAATGCTTATTTTTGGGAAACTAGATAACAAATAATATCATATTTGGGAAACTAGGTAACAGATAATGTGGGAAATTAGATAACAGATAACATGCTAGATAGCACAGTTACCAGGCTGTTTACTATATGGTGGGTTTGAGTACAGTGGGTTTGGATACAGTGGGTTGCACGTTACAATTCAGGCAACCCACGCTGTGGCTGATCAGGCCAGGAGAGCATGCTTGTCAAAACAAATGTCTTGACTTGTCATTTACCCAGTTACCGTGTTCCAGGTAAGGAATCTCTCAACCTTGAGAAGTGACCTCGAGAGGCATCCTGACTCAAGGGGAGATTCTGCAATGCAGCCAGCTGCCATGCAGCAGAGCTCAGAGGACTCAACCAGGCTGCTCCTCTTTATGCTTTGATAGATTATCTGTAGGCAAATCAAGTCAAGATGTACCCTTGATTTTCATTTAGGGCCATGCAGAGCTGAGCTGCAGTTCGTGTGATCGTACCTTGTGGCCAGGCAGATGCCTGTTGCCGGGTGGATGAAATATCTTGTGCAATACCCCTGCTCTCCTGGGCAGGGGATGGGAGGGGATGGTGCAGCACAGCCTCATACTGATGAAGCAACTCTCATCAAGTTTTCAGTTGACACCAAAAGAGGGGGGACCAGTCATTGGTCCAGGGCTGCCAACCAGAGGGACCTGGGCAGGTGGGAGGAAGGGGCTGACATTCAGCACAAACGAAAATGCTGCTACCCTGTCTGAGCAAGGCAGAGCCCCTAAAATGATACTGGCTGGGGCTAGTGGGGCTGGGAATGGCTCTGTGGAGAAGCCTGTGGCTCTGGTGAACAGAGAGCATGGGCCAGAGAGGTTGGTTTAAGGAAAATATTTTTCCTCATGAGGACAGTCAGGCAGGCGAGCCAGGACCCAGAGAGGCTGTGCTGTCTCCATCCCTGGAGTTGCTTAACCCCTAAGCAACCATGGCTGAGCATTCTTTGCATGGCGAGTTGGATTAGAGACCTCCCGAGGCACTTTCCAGCCTAAGTTATGATTATCTTACAGTGCTATGATTTTGCCTCTGCTGTAAAGTATAGACATATCCTGTGATTCTATCTGTTAATGACCTTGCTACATTTGTACAAGGAGAGCTATGTATACACATATTTTTCCCCAGACAGAAGCTTGCTCAGTACTGTCATATCAAATTGTAGATCTCTGCACTCTGAAATGAAATTCATTTCTGTACATTTCCAAGCATCCAGTTCCAATTCCTTTTTCAAACATCCCCAGAAGATTCATCAGCTGCGTGAGCTCTATTCTGAACACTTATCTGGTGAGTATGCACCACACTGACCCGCGGCACCTTCAGACCTGTATGCTTTCATGGAGATCATTCTTATAAATACCATGAATACTCCTTTTTTAATGATTCATTTTGTGTGAGCTAATGAGATTGAGTGACTTTGTGAATATAAATTTGAATAATATAAAAAGTTTAATGTTGTATCACTAAAAGTAATATCTGAATTTAATATAGCTTTTCTAGAGAAGTTTTAATGTTGTACAGCTTTTCTGGAGATGCTTAAATTTTGTACACTGCTCTTAAAATTTTAAACTACCAATTCCAGGCTTCATCTAAACTAGTCCAATTAAAATATTATATTTCATTTCTAATGAACAAAATTATTTTTCTTTTTTGGGAAGAGTAAGAGTAAAGGCAAAATACGGAGCTAAAGTTCCTAAGTCTACAATAAAATATCTCTGATATCAATGCATGCTAGCTTTCTTATTGCTAATATATATGTGAAAGTTACATAAAGCTTCTTACTAACTCCTTAGAGTGACATATGGAAGTTACCGTTGCTTGGAAATGAGCCTCTTGTTAAAATGTTACAGCTGATGTAATCTCTGGTTTTACAAGTAAATAACAAGGATGCTCTTTAACCATCCTTGATAAGGAGGAAGGCAAACGCTGCAAAAGAGATGTAAAAGTTTCTTAGTTGTCTGTTAACACAAAAAGACACACTTCTAATTCTAACACCTACTTCCTTCATACTTTTTTTTTCCTGAAGATCTAAAATCACTGAGATTCTAATGGGCTTTGGGTGTGGACAACCCAAAGTTGTGCTCTCTTTTCTTCTTAAAAACAAACCAAGAAAAAATCCCACAAAAAATAGAAAAGAAGTTGTCATTTATAAAATTAGATTACTCTGGGAAATCATTAAAATATGAGGGCTGAATCTAGGCTTAATTGAAGTAAATGGAAAAAAATCATTACACTGAGTTCACTTTGGATCAAGGTTTACAAATAAGTCAAGGAAATGGTTAAAGAGGGAAGAAAGGATAGCTTTACTATATTCAGTAGCAACTGGCTTGAATTTCACAAACAAATGAGTGCAGTCACTGTGCTTTCATGAAACACTCAGTCATGGAGTATTCTTGTATGTCTTACATGAACTGCAGCTAGCTTTGGATCATTCCCTGCAGAAAGAATGACCATGTCCCTGAAGATATATTGGGACTTTTCAACTTCTAAAGAAATAAAATTTTCAATCTTAAAAGTATTTTCCTTTCTCTCACTTTCTTGCTTGTATAATTATTATGCCTATGTATATATTCTTACGGATTCTTCTCTAAGAACTAGCTATTGTGCCGCGTTTTTTTCTGTTGCAAACAGCTTGCTTGCAGCACTGTTAATGGCATCAGCTAGCACATAAAAGCCTGCATGATTTAGAGAATTGTGAATAACCATTGGTTATTCCACTTAACTCTTTGTAAAATTGTGTTCATATGTAAAATTCAATGTAGGTGAAGGTCCTTGTGATTTCTGATTTGTTTTTTTTATTAGTTTTCTGAGGAACTGGTATTGATCAATGGATCATCATATTGTATGATTTCCAGACGTCTCTCTAGGCAGTGTAACTTCCTGCTCTAACTGGAGTGTGCTCTAACATGCTTTAAGTCTAATGTTTGAAGTGTTCCATGCATATATAAAAGCATAGGCTACAATGTGATTTTCCTTCACATTTGAAGTATGAACCTCCTAACCTCAGCACTTTTTTCCCTCAATTGTTTCTCTTCTTTAATGTTCACAGTAGCAGAAGTGAACAAAAGCAGAAATTGCTGCTGATTTCTGCTCAGATTCTGTAACAAACCATCTTCATTTTGCTTTATCCGTAAACAGATCATCAAAGCCAACTGCACAGACATAATGCCATGATCGTGTTTACCATCATTAAGAGCAAAGCTACTGAAGTACAACTGACTTTAACAAGAGCCATAGCTTTCAAAATAAGTTTCGCAGATCAGCCAGGTTTGCAGTAATTCATTTATGTTAGGGTTAGTTCCATGTCTGGGTTTCACCACAATGTAGTTGAGCTTATTGGTTTCTGTAAAACTCTTCAAAAAAAAGATTGCTTCTGACTGATTCACCATCGTCTGTACTCACCAACATTCTTAATTAATGTTTAAGAATCAGGCACTTCTGTGGATGGCATTAGGAATTCTAGAATATAATCTGTTGCACAAAAAGGAATTTTACCATTATTTACAACTCAGATGCTGATGAATGATTTCTTCAGTACTGATTATCCATGTATGCCACTGAATGTTAAACATTTTCTTCACCTTTTGAAAGTTCATTGTCCCTGTCGGAAACCTCCCCATTCATATAGTAACTTAATTTCTACCCTTTGATTTTTATATGGTTTGCTGTAGTGGTTTATGTGGTTATGTGGTTTATGTAGTATAAAGGTATACTAAATGCTAGGCAGGAGCTCTGCTTCTACAAATTTATGCTCTTAATCTACCTGTAACTTAGGCATATTTCAGCTCAGTCATCTACAGCTACATTGTCACACAAGTTTTAGGATCTGGGTACTGGTCCTGCCCCAGCTGCATCCTGCAGCCAAATCCTAAAGCCAAGCTTCTTTCGGATAATTACTTCTCATTAAATTTGGCTGACAGATGGTTTAGGGTCAGAAACATAGTAACATATCAGACAAAGGGAGAACTAATTGCACTCATTTGAATTGGAAGGATTAATGTGGAAAAAATACAACTCAGCTCACAAAGCTAGGAAGGTATTTATTAGGTGCTTTTGTCATTAAAAAAAAAAAAGACTTCTGAAAAGCAAGGGAAAAAGTAAGATTTGTTTTAGTGCTGCCGGTTGGCACAGACTCCAGCCATTTTCTCTATGTCCTCTTCTGCCTGGGAGCTACAGAACTGGATCACTTTCCCCACCACACAGATAGCAATATGCTTTCTAGCCTTTCTTCAGCTTCAGTGAACAATTGCAAGAAAATTTAAGCTGTTAACTTTTTTTAGGGTGAAAGAATGCAAGCTTCTGGGGAGCCAGATGCTCAACAGAGAGTTTTAAGAGAGCCATTCTACACTATATGCAGCAGCTTAGCTGTTCCAGAAGCAAAGGTAATGCTTTAGAGTGGAGAATATATGGGAGGAATAGCTGCATAAATACATTAGTATTTATTTACAAAGATACTTGAATTCAACTGTAAAACTGAGAATGGAAGTGAAGTAAGAAAACAGCCAGTGAGAGCTCAGAAATCCATGAGAAGTTTAACTGCTTGGTATTGGATTGTTTTAGTTACATGATCTGTCAGCATTTCCTTACTTTTCTTCCTTCAGCTCCCCCTTCTTTCCCCTCAAAAAAGACACCATCACAATCATTTTAACTGGAAGGATTTGTATGAAGAATTGTAACACAGTTCAGAAGTCTGAAGAGATATTTAGAGGGGATTTATATCAGCATTTAAAAAAAAATCCCTACAACATGTAAGAGTAGTAAAATTGGATAAGGAGAGGGATGTGGAATTTATCGAATTCCAGTGAATGAATATTTGGCTATATACCAAATACAAAGTTAGATGCTTGGATTTTCTTCCAAAAACTGATGAAAATGCCATTGATTTTAGTGATGTTTAGTGAAAATACCATTTGATTTTAGCAAATTGAGAATTTCACCCTATATGACTAACTACAGTCAAAAAGGTAAATTCTTTGAAAACTAGAAAGTATTTTCACAATCTTAGAGCTATTTAAATTGGCAGAAAAGTTTTTTAAACTCTTTGCCTTTGAATGTAAAAAAACATGTCCTCAAAAAGTGGTAAAGAAGGACAACTAAAATAATAAGACTGTTTAAAAGGCTTGAATCTCCTGCTAATTTTAAATAGTTGTAAGTACTATTAATAGGATAGTGAGCTATGTATATTCACTAATCTTTATTCATTACTCGGCAAAAGCAAAACCTGATAATAAAAATGCAGCTGAAATAGTGTTTTGACTGGGAAACTTCCCTTTGCTCTACAAGTGTAGGAAACTCAAAGGTGATGTTACTAAAGGACTGAATAAAAAACTTTGGGGATTTTCTGAATTATAGTCATGGCGCCCAAAAGATATTTGCTATTTCATCTTTTATCAGTCCTAAAGGTTTTCAATGGTGAAATGAAAAATGACAAAAACCTCTTTGGTGCAGATTGTTATCATTTTTGGAAGTCTGTCTTTCAAATGGCCCAGAACACTGGAATTTTAAATTGTAGCTTTGGAAACACTTCATGATCCAACTGTCCTTAGTTAAAAGGCTATGAAATGCAAAATGAATAAAATGGCTAAGCAGTGGGAGGACAAAGTTGACTAGCCATACTCCCCTCCCACCAAAAAAAAAAAAAAAAAAAAAATTTTGATGAAAGATGAGTAATTTCATACTGTACCCTGACTACTATACAAACACATAGCCTGGCATTAGTATTCCTTATGTGTAGTAGAGAAAAAAGGAAAAATATATATATTTGTGTATTTATATACACTTTAGACCCTTCTGAATGTGCCAATTAGACTTCATTGCACAGTGCTGACCAAGAGTTTTGTGAAGGAACAGCACAGCAAAATGTATTTGCAATGCTATTTTAGAGTGAGCTGACTCAGAGATTGCATAGGTAATTATTGGAAGCAGAGCTTAAAGATTCCTTTAAGCCATGGAGGAACCTTATTCAGAAACAGATCACAGGCTTTTCAAGCCTAGTATTTCATTTCCATTGGTCTATTTAGTATCAGATGACATGTTCAAGGATGACTTTTCCCAGATACAGAGATTTGCCTCAAGATGCCAAAGTTAGCTCTCCTGAAATCCACGGCTGCGATCCTACTTATTGCCTTGCTCCCTCCTCATAGGAGCCTGAACTCCACCATCTCATAGTCACTGCAGCCAAGGCAGTGACCCCAACCTTCACATCTCCAACTAGACCTTCTTTGTTCGTTAGTACAAGGTCTAGCATTGCACCTCTCCTCCTTGGCGTCTCCACCACCTGGGTCAAGAAATTATCATCAATGCTCTGCAGGAACCTCTTTGACTGTTTGTGCCTAGCTGTGCTGTCTACAGAGCTACGTCAGAATACAGAGACCATCTGCAAGGCATTTGCACTTTTAAAAACTTCTGCTGTTTTTACCGTGAGATGAGTTAAAAAAAAGAAATCTCAAAACCTTACTGTGATAAGTGAAAAGCTTGATCACTGTGATCTGCTCTTCAGGAGTGAGCCGGGCAGGAGCGGAAAGGTTCAGAAATGGAAGTGCATAAAAAATCCATCCATGACAGCATTCCAGGCACGTGAACTATCCCACCATGTCTCTGGAACTGCAACGAGATCGTGGCCTTGCGACCGCACACAGAGCTCTAACTCTTTCTGCTTATTCCCCGTGCTGCGCGCATTGGTATACAGGCATTTCAGAGAGCCGGTCAAGCATGCAAGCTTCCCAGGAGAGGTGCAAGAGGAGCCTCCATAGCCATGTGCCGTGGCGTCTCTCCCGGCTGTATGCAGCCGCTGGAGGCATCCTGACTTGAGTGGCGTTCTACTGACTCCCCTGCCACTATACCGCTCCCCTTCCCGCATCTTTCCGAGGTTAAGGGCCTCCTCACCAGGCCGGCCAAGCTTGCGTGTTGGCAAAGACGCGAGTGCCCCGCTTCGTGGGGTGGATCCCATCTCTCCCCATCAGTTGTCGCTCTTCAAACACGGTTCCGTGGCCATAGACACCAAAGCCCTGTTGCCAACAGCAGCGGCGCAGCCAGCTGTTCACTTGGAAAACTCGTCTACTCCTCTTCCCGTCCTTCTCCCTCACACGCAGGACCGAGGAGAAAACGACCTGGGCTCCCAGACCCTTGACCACCATTCCCAGGGCTCTGAAGTCCTGTTGGATGGCTTCCAATTTGCCTTTCGTGTCGTTAGCGCCCACCTGGAAGAGCAGCAGAGGGTAGTAGTCCGATGCATGGACAAGCCTTGGCAGTCTTTCCAGGACATCTGTTCTTGGCGCCGCTGGCAGGCAGCAAACCTCTCTGGACAGGAAGTCAGGTCGGCAGACAGGTGCCTTTGTCCCCTGCCGCAGGCCGTCACCCACAACAATCACTCGCCGCTTCTTCCGGCTGTTCCTGCATGGTACATGGTCTGTCAGGCCAGTTGCCTCCCTGGGAGCCATGCCCAGCTCCTCCTCAGCTTGGAGGGCGCTAAACTTGCTCTTCACAGGCAAATCCCGAGGAGGAGCAAGAGCCTTTCTCCTTCTACGAGAGGTGACCAGTTTCCAGCCCTCTTCAACAGCGTTATGCTATAGAGTTGCACACGGCACAGAGCCCTCCGGCAGCTCCGCTGCAGTGGGGCGGTGGGGACTCCCGGAGCTGCGCAGTCTCCGGGAATACCCTGTCAATCTCCTGCTCATCTTCTCAGATGCTACGCAGCCTCCCGACTTCCTCGCCTAGCTCCTTTACCTGGCGAGACATCTGATCAAGCCCAGCACACCTTCGGCAGGAGAGCGCTCCAGCCAGGCCCCACGGAGAGGCCCCAGGCACTCCCTGCAGCCTGACACCTGTAGAGCTGCATTTGCTGTCAGAGGGTCTGTTTTGGTTGAAGTTTCAGACACAGGTGATGCAGCAACTCGAACAGCCACTGGGGAATGTGTTCTGTGGCGTGTCATGACCATACCTGAGGAAGCACACAATACTATGAGAAATGAAGGTGCCTTGTATTTGCTGAAGATAGCAAATACATTCATAGTCTGAAAAATAGATCTGTAGCTGGGATACAGAACTTGTAATCACAGCCATATGATAAATGCTGATGTGGCTTTTTTTCCAAATCTGTTTGAATAACATGAATTAAGATTTTATACACAGTGAAATGCATACTTCTTTAAAACACCCAGCAAACAGGGATTTATTGTAATAAATTGGTAGCCAAGTATTTTTCCTTAATAGTGCCCTTGGCCTCACATCACCATCACATGTTAGCTCCCAGCAAAAATAAAAGTAGAGCAAAAATCCATTTCCCTATTGAATAAAAACTCTGTTGTGCTTTTTTCTTGCAGGAGTCAGGCTACGGAGAAAGCTTTATGCCAACTTGGAAGTCCACTGCAGTTAGCAAAGCTCTGCACGTTTCCTAATGCAGAGTTCACTGTATCTGAAATGTTAAGTTTGCAGCAGGATTGGTTGAAGAATAATATTCCTGCACAGCTTTCTCTCTCAGCAGAAGTAATGCCTTTTATGTTTTAAGTAGAAACATGGTGACTAAAGTACATGTTGATTCTCTTTTGCTTTTAGTCCTATTTTTATTTTCCCTGAAGGCCCTTTCACACTTTATTTGGTCAACATGCTGTTTTGCATGATAACCAAAAAGAAGGCCCTCGTTATTAGATTATACAGAGGAATTATTTTCGTTGATCTGCGCCCTTGATTTGTGTTAGTGCAATGTGTGAAAACATGTGAGTACACTCTCTAGTACTTCCAGGCTCATCTGCAGAAACCTTTTTAAAGAATGGTTCAAAAATATGAATCAGCCCTCTCTTTAATTGACTTTAACTTTCAAAGTTTCTTACTTTGTTACATTATCTATCTATAAGAATGAATATGTACACTCCTTTTGCTTTTTGAGAGCTGAAAAAATTAACTAGCTATCCTAAGTAGTGTCTGATAATGACTGCCAAGTTGCTTATTCAAGCACAGAACATCTACATGCAGACTGCAGGAACTGAGCAAGACTTTGTTCCTTCTCTGATTAGAGGAATTGATTTGACTTTAGGAAGAGTGACTTTAATTGGCTGTGCAAATGTCATTCATTCCAGTTAATCTTCTCACAGTGTCAAGACCAAAATCCACGGAGAAAATACATTGTAGCAAATCAATATAACTCGTTTCTACCAGGAACAGGTGCTTACAGAAAGAGGAATATCCTTTAGAGGTGTTTGCATCAAGAATTATTTAAACAAGACAGTAATTCAATGCACCTAATCTCTCGAGGATTCTTCATAGACTGTTTACATGTCTATTTAATTGTTTTCATTTGATAGAAAGTATTTAACCTAGTATTTTTGAAAAGTATTCCACTAACTATCCCAGGGGTCAGTCCTGGGTCCAGTCTTGTTCAATATATTCATCCATGACCTGGAGGAAGGCACAGAGTGCACCCTCAGCAAGTTTGCTGATGATACTAAACTGAGGGGAGAGGTTAACACACCAGAAGACTGTGCTGCCATTCAGAGGGACCTGGAGAGGCTGGAGAGGTGGGCGGAGAGGAACCTCCTGAAGTTCAACAAAGGCAAGTGCAAGGTCCTGCACCTCGGGAGAAATAATCCCATGCAGCAGGAGAGGCTGGGGGTTGACCTGCTGGAAAGTAGCTCTGCCGAGGAGGACCTGGGAGTGCTGGTGGACAACAAGTTAAACATGAGGCAGCAGTGTGGCCTTGTGGCCAAGAAGGCCAATGGTATCCTGGGGTGCATTAGGCAGAGTGTTGCCAGCAGGTGGAGGGAGGTGATCCTGCCCCTCTCCTCAGCCCTGGGGAGGCCGCACCTGGAGTACTGTGTCCAATCCTGGGCTGCCCAGTACAAGAGAGACGTGGCACTCCTGGAGAGAGTCCAGCAGAGGGCTACAAAGATGATGAAGGGACTGGAGCATTTCTGCTGTGAGGAAAGGCTGCGAGAGCTGGGCCTGTTGAGCCTGGAGAAGGGAAGACTAAGAGGCGATCTGATCAATGTGTACGAGTATCTGAAGGGAGGGTGTTGAGAGGATGGGGCCAATCTCTTCTCCATGGTGCCCAGCAACAGGACAAGAGGCAATGGGCAGAAACTGAACCACAGGAAGTTCCATCTGAACCTGAGAAAAAACTTCTTCACTGTGAGGGTGACAGAGCATTGGAACAGGTTGCCCAGAGAGGTGGTGGAGTCTCCTTTGCTGGAGATATTCAAAATCCGTCTGGATGTGATCCTGGGCAATATGCTTTAGGTGACCCTGCTTGAGCAGGGAGGTTGGACTAGATGATCTCCAGAGGTCCCTTCCAACCTCAACCATTCTGTGATTCTGTGGTTCTAACTTTCTCAAAACGCTGACAAGTACAACCAGGTTTTATTACATAGAAAAATCTGAGCTATGGATTTACAAGACAATTGGTTCTCTTTACAAACTTGAGCTAAGCATTAATTTTTCATGAGGTAGGAAAACTGTTCAGTGAATTGACTCTCCACTGCTACTCAAAAAGCTCTCTCTGAAAGAAAGCTCTTAGATGACAAAACAGAGATCTCAAAAATTAGTGACCATGAAATTTTAATCCTTTAGAATTTGCACATCGTTAGTAGCAATGCATCATATCTGTCACAGCTTCTCAGATTCTGAGAGCAATTTCTCATAAAAAGCACAAGCTAAATCCTAAAAGAAAGCAAAATAAATCAAAAGAATCACCTCAGAGATGTCACTGAAATGAAGTGAAATGAAAAATTCTATGTTGGCAGGCAAGTACAGAGAATTTTCCATTTTTGAGAAATATTGCAGATACCCTCCTGCAATAATTTACCCTGTGAGAACTTTCTCATATCACATTGTACAACTGTATGATGAATGAAGGAGTGCATCAAGGAGTTTACATCTCTAAAATAAAATGAGAGTCACCTAAAGAGAAAAGCTTTACAACAAACAAAACCAAATATTTTATTTGAAAAGAGTCAAAGGTTTTTCCCCCCTTAAGAAAGTAAGAAGATACCTTTCCCCACAATTTCAGTAAAAGTACTCAGAAAAACTGCAATAAAAAGTAGTGTTTCACGATGTGTACTAACGTAAGTTGCCACAATATAGCTTGCTGCTCAGCCTTCAGGTGTATTCTTGCAGCATTTTCCCAGTCAGCATCAGATGGATGTCAGTATCAGAATTTCAACCATCAGTTGCTCAAAAGCAAAATAGCCAGAGTCACAGACGATCTTTGTATGCACTTCATCCTATTTATGCTGCTTTTTATGCACATGGGATGGGGTATACCAGAAAGGAATTGTTCAAAAGCAGTTACAGATGACCACTCTTAAGGCCCTGAGGGCACTAACAGGCCTTGCTGGCCTTGACCAGCCTCCTCCCTTCGCTCCTCCCTATAGCCCATGGTACAAGATCCCCTTTCAGCTCAGGGCCATCAGTCCCTGCCCCAGTGATGCCATAGCAGCATTGGTCTCCTGTTCTGCTACAGCTATGCCACTAGCTGGCCACAGGCCCTGCTGATCCTGACCCCCACCCACTAGCTGATGCCCCAGCCTGGCCTCATTCCAGCACCATCACCACAGCCCTGCCTGGCCGTCTCAGGACTATGTGCGACCCTGGTTACCAGTATTGGGCCTGCTCCAGATCCCAACCTATGGGATGACTGCCTGGTCCCACCTTGGCATATCCCCATCCGCACAGTGGTGCCTGATGCTGCCCCCAGCTGCTCCTCCGGCCTGCCCTGCTCCCACACTGGGGTAGTGGGATGGGCCCTGGCTGGTGAGGCCCCTGCCCTGCTGGCCTGGGGAGCCCTCATGGCTACCAGCCTCCAGAGAGTCACTGGCCCCCGCAGGGCCTTTGACCAGAAAAGAGGACTGGG